TAATCAAAACAAATCATGTCTGCGCAAAATTAGTCGGCGGGAACCTAATACCCACAACCCGATTTTTCATCGACGTTCAACGTGTACGCGGGTGAGAAACGAATTTTTCTACGCAGCCAAAAAAAAAATTTGAACAGAATGAAGCACAAAAAATGAGACGAAGGAATTCGAATTTAAAATTTTAATTCAATCCTTTTATTTTTTTATTTCACGAAGCATTTACGATGGAAAATTTTTGAATGGTTTTCCGTGAATTTTTGAACTACTTTTCGGGGAATTGGAGAATTCAAATTGTTTTGCGAACTGAACTCTTAAACTAGTTAAGTTTGCAAACGATGAGAAAATACTTCTAGTTTCCAAAACGTTACACGACCATGTTCCATGCATTAAAACAAGGACAGTTGAAAAATTTGAAGACGGGTTTCAAGTGGGCTCCAATGATATTTTCTTTTTTCCATCAACTCAATTTTGCAGCGATGGATGGTTAAGGAAAAAATCGACCACCAGAACAGCATATTTTTCACATTACATCCATGTCTTATCTTGAAGTTCAATTATTCTTTCACGATTTTCTGAAAAGTCTCAGTGGAATCAAGTACAGTACTGAATCTCAAGAAATATTACCCAAAACTTCTCAAGTTATATTCCTACAACGTTCATAATCTGCGAGTTGCATCAAACAGAAGTGGCACTGTCAAAAACGAAGATGAAACAAATTTCCAGAATTGGCACTTCAAAAATTTTTACATTGGTTCTTTGACTTCAATGGGAACATATTTGGTTCTTCTGTTTAAAAAAAATTGAGGAAAAGTCCTCAGCATACAGTTAGACCCCCACATGCAGACACCTTGACATGGGGACAATTTGACATAGGGAAATTTATTTTTCAATAAGAAAAAACCACAAAAAGGCCTGACATATGGACACTGACTCAACATGAGGACATAGCATTATAAAATTTCCAATACATTTCAGGAAAATTGACTTTCATTAAGCTTAATTGCAGGAAACAGATATTTCCAGCCCTAAGATCTATGCAAGAAAAACTCATTTTTATTTCTCCCATAATTTTCCCATCCATCCATCTAATTAAAAAAATTATAGCATAGAGGGACTTCCTTCTCTCTTTGTGACTTGAATGTTATTTTTACAGATGCCAATATTTCAATGCACTGTACAGCAGTATACTATTCAATGCTCCAAATGTTCTTATTGGGTTGAAAAGATATTCACTGAATCAAATTCAAGTGGCAAAAACATTTTTTTCATCAAATTCTGAAGAATATTTCTTTCATAAAACACCAATTAAAAATTATATAAAGTAAGTCTAAGGGAAAACAAGACTCAACTTAGGGACATTTTGACTTAAAGACACTCTTGATGCACCAATTATGTCTGCATCAGGGGGTCTCGCTGTATTTAAACAAATTCTGAACTTTGAGAAACAGAAAATAACTGTGCTGACAAAAACCATGCAAAATCTGATCTTTGGCATGGAAGACCAAGCAAAAGACAAAAAAAATCTGTCTACACAGTAAAGGATGATGGGAAAAACTCTGAAAAATAATTTTTTTTAAATTAGCTTGCTTTGGATTGTGAAAGAGAATAAATTGATCGTAACATTTATTTTCAAGTCTTGTGCATATAAATTCCTCAATTTGTTCAAGAGACATCAACATTTTTCGAAATACAATTTTCTTTAGTTTAGAAATGTTGGGAAAGGATTCATATCCACAGACTTTGTCAATATGTGGGGGCATAATTTTTCAGTTTCAAGTGTCCCCAAGTTAAATTTTACATATGTCAGGGTGTCTGTATGCNTCGTTACAAAGAAAAGAAAAGAAAAAAAAGTATCCTTGTAAAGGAATGTCCAAGAGGAACGAACACACACACACAAAAGCGAATTTTTCATTTCAGCAGCGACAACACCGACGACGAACCTGTTCCTTATCTTTGATTTTTCTCCACGGAAGAGAGCCGTTGACGAACTCCACCAGCATGTAGAACAACGACCAGAGGTCATCGTGTCGCCCCATTTCCTTGTTCTTGTGGGCGTTGAGGCTGGCATAGCGCACCGTGCCGCGAAATCCCGCGGCTGCTCGCGGAGTACGCACTTCCCCGGTCGCGTTCGTGTACTGCCTCGCCAGTCCGAAATCCAGCATAAACACCTTCCGTCCTAAATGCTGCGCCCGGCCCATGGCGAAGTTGCTCTGTTGATTAAAAAAAAAATTTGTATATATATTTGACAAAAAAGTCAAAAACGAGGTACAGTACATTCAGGAAATTACGGTCAAATTTCGTTCAATACTAACTAAATAATAATAATTAAATACTAATATTAACCCCAACCACCCTACTCGGTTAACCGCCAATAAAGTTTGAAAAAATAAAAATGAAACCATCTCCCCTCGTGATAATAATAACATTGGAAAGCCCGTTAGAACGCGTTGGGGATTGCCCGTTAGAACGCAATCCCCAAAAGTTACTGCCATTGCGAAGTTGCTCTGGGGAAACAATACTTGACAAAAAACGCATGGGAAATACTGTACCCTACTCTCAAAACCTGTTCAAAACGTCCCCCAATAAGCCACCACTCACTTATTTATTTAAAAAAAATATATACACTGAGATCCCCAGATGTGGACATAATTGGTGCATCAAGAGTGTCTTTAAGTCAAAATGTCCCTAAGTTGAGTCTTGTTTTCCCATAGAATTACATTATATAATTTTCAATTGGTGTTCTATGGAAGAAATATTCTTCAGAATTTGATGAAAAAAATGTTTTTGCCACTTGAATTTGATTCAGTGAATATCTTTTCAACCCAATAAGAACATTTGGAGCATTGAATAGTATACTGCTGTACAGTGCATTGAAATGTTGGCATCTGTAAAAATAACAATCAAGTCACAAAGAGAGAAGGAAGTCCCTTGGTGCTATGGGGAATTTTTTTATTTAGCTGAATGGATGGGAAAGTGATGGGAAAAGTACCAAAGAATTTTTTTGCATAGATCTTAGGGTTGGAAATATCTGTTTCCTGCAATTAAGCCTAATGAAAGTCAATTTTCCTGAAATGTATTGGCAATTTTATCATGCTATGTCCTCATGTTGAGTCAGTGTCCATATGTCAGGCCTTTTTGTGGTTTTTTCTTATTGAAAAATAAATGTCCCAACGTCAAATTGTCCACATGTCAAGGTGTCCGCATGTGAGAGCCTTACTGTAGATGCAAATTTCCTTACTTTCTTCAAATTAAAATTTCATTCTTGATATAATAATCACTCCCAGGAGGGGGTTTCTTCATCATTCAAGTAGGACGCACACCTCTCCGAAAATGTTGCCAAAAATATTGTGCTTGCATAAGATGCGCACCAAGCTTTTTTTCTTGAGCAGGGATGAGTAAATGCGCAAATGAGGGAGAACATAAAAGATCAATTACTGTACCAGAATATGAAATCTCTCAAGATTATTTTCGAGAATTTATGAATTTCACTTGAAAAATTGAAATCGTTGAATGCAGTTGAAACTCAATGAATCAATCCTCCCTATGTTGAATTTTTTTTAATCCCTGCCTGGATTCCTTTAAAACAATGCATTCAAAAAAAAAGTTCTCAACTCCAAGGCTTTCCTCCTCACAGCTCCAGTAATTCCAATTTTCTGCGGCTTTTATTTTCCTGACAAAGGAATGAGACAAGCAATGAAAATTTAAAGGAAGCGTTTTGAAAGGAATTGAAAGACTGATGGGGCAAATAAACCCTTGTGTTGCAGAGAAAATGAGAGATTTTTCCGATTTTTCTATTTTCAGCCAATCCGAGGCCAGAGAACATGCAAGAATGTTCTGGAATTTTCTGGCCAGTTCACCTAACCAGACAATTCCAAAAAACCAATAAAAGCTCTAATAAATTCGACTTTCTAAGTCAGTTTGTACTGAACTCTCAAAGGAAAATCTTCTCCTTCACTTTTCCTGATTTGTGCACAAATCTGTGATTATTTTTTATGCTCTGGTCTGATCTTGTGATTCAAATATGTTGTGTGGATTGATTGAATTTACCCCTTGAATTCTTAATCTTATTTGACTCTGTTGAAAACATTCAAGGCAACCCCCTTTTGAATATCTGTTCATGGCCTCAAAAGGCTGATTACCCGTGTTTTTAATTACAGTATTTCTTTTGTGATCCTTGATCACACCTTGCCTACAACTCCAGCATCCTGTCAAATCATTTACAAAGCAATTTAATGCTTAGACTACTGTATCACCAGTTACAATTTCCTCCAATTTTTCTTTCTTTTCCAACAACAAAGCTTGTAGCACTAACTCAAAACCTCTTAAACAATTTTTTTGCTAGTCCCTTCTTGAAGTTTGGCTTGAAAAGGTTTGAACAAACAATGAAAAACTGGTAAGATTTTCAAAATTTGTAGGTAGGCTTAGGTTTGCAATTTTGAGCATATACAGGTGGAATCTCCACAACAAAATTCAAGGAACCAAATAAAAATTCATTGTACAGAAAATTTTAGTGAAAGGAACCCTTATGACATGCAGAAATAATACTTTGTCTTAATAAGCAACAGGAACAGAGAAAATTGCTGAAGAAAAGATACTGTATTTACTCAAGTACCACGCGCACCTTTTTTCTCAAATTTCAGAAGAAAAAAATGGGTGCACGTCATAAGCTGGTACAAATTTTTCAAGAAGTTTTAGGAAGTTATGTGTGCATTATACTTAATTATAATGGAGAAATTTGGAACAAATGTACCGAGAAAACTTGTTTATACTGAAAGAGTTGAAAATTGATCAGATTTGTATTCAATTCATGTCTTAAGTCAAATTTTTTGTTGCTACTCTTGAAATTTTGTGGATTTAGATTCACTAAAAAATGGGGTGCGCGTCTTACTCGGGGATAAGGTTTTAGCAAAATTTCCAACTGAAAAAACCCCTGTGCGCGCCTTACTCCAGGGCGCGTGGTACTCGAGTAAATACGGTAATTGTACTGTACTCGGAGTCCACCTGCACTCGCTGATTTCTTTTTTTTTTTTGCACTCCCTCTTTCAATCACTCGATTCTTTTCAATATGCACGATCTTCAGAATAAAACGAAATCAAGAAAAATATTTTACGCAGCCACTGTGAAGCTATGCACTCACGGGCTTGACATCACGATGCAGGAAGCCGACTTCGTGGATATTTTCGATGGCACGAAGGATCTGAACACCTAGCCGCAACGTCGTGGACAAGGAAAACGTATTTCTTCCACAGCCAATAAACCGACAAACGTGATCTTTCCCTGCAAAAAAAAAAAAAAAAAAATATCGTCATATATTCAATCAACTTTGAAAGTCGTCGAAAAGTATGCCGTACGTACCTTGCAGTTTTTTCAAAACTGCCACTTCCATCTTCAATACTTGCTTCTGCTGCTTGGCTGACTCAAGTTTCAAAGCTACAGCTTCCTTGCTGATCAGATCAATGCCTTCATAAATTTCCCCGAAGCCACCGCCACCAATTTTCTTGGTCTGGAATAAAAATAAAAAAACAATGAAGAAATGAATAAACGATCGTTCAAAACAATCCGATTCATTCGAACAAAATAAATCCGCTCGTATTCGATCAAATCACTAGGTTGACAGCCCAGCATAAAAAGCTGTCACCAGAGGACTGTGAATCAAAATTTAAATCTGATAAACAATTGATCCAATCACAGAAATGATTTTAAAATCGCTGCCTCTCCTTAAAATTGTTTTCCCATCATTTAAGGATGAGCGAATTAGCCTCATTTTACAATACTTACAACAGTTTAATTTAAACATGTTAAACTTTTCAGTCAACGAAGAAGATAAAAAAGTGGTTTTTAATTCAAAATTGGTATTTTTATATGTGAACTTCACAAGCATTTGTAATGCGTCGGTTCCGACAGAAAAAATAAATAAATAAAAAAGAATTTACTGCACCACCTTTCACTCATCAAATAAATGAAGAAGGATACACCCAAAAATAAGTTTGCCACTAGGATAACATTCGGAGTCTAGACAAAAGGCTGTCTCTCAACTGTCGTCTTTTTCAAGACCCAGATTTAAAAAAAAAAAGAAACATTTCGAAACTTTCTTCGGGATCAATGGACAACGATAATACTGGTAAAAAAAAACCCAAGATATGCATTCCAGCAAGAAAACACACTGTAAAATCGTTGTAATACCAAGTTAAACGGAATGCGGTATAAAAAAACACTGAACAAAATTTTCTCATGAAAAACAAAATTAGCGCGAACATAAATCAACCCTCTTCTTCATCCTTTCACGAACCAAATAATAAAACTACAAATAATCCTGCTTAAATTTTCCAGAA